GGGGATTTTGGGAGATTTCGGGACATTTTGGGACATTTTGGGGTCATTTGGAGTCACTTTGGGGACACTTGATGACATTTGGGGTCATTTTGGGGACATTTTGGGGAGATTTTGGGACATTTCGGGGACATTTTGGGAGATTTGGGATTTTTGGGGACAAATTTGGGGAGATTTGGGGAGATTTTGGGACATTTTGGGGAGATTTCAGGAGATTTGGGATATTTGGGGAGATTTGGGACATTTTGGGGAGATTTCAGGAGATTTGGGATATTTGGGGAGATTTTGGGATATTTTTGGGAGATTTCGGGAGATTTGGGATATTTTGGGGACATTTTGGGACAAATTTCGGGAGATTTTGGGACATTTTGGGGACATTTCAGGAGATTTGGGATTTTTGGGGACAAATTTGGGGAGATTTGGGGACATTTTGGGAGATTTGAGATATTTTGGGGAGATTTTGGGATATTTTGGTGAGATTTCGGGAGATTTAGGGACATTTTGGGGAGATTTCGGGGACATTTCGGGAGATTTGGGATTTTTGGGGACATTTTTGGGGAGATTTTGGGACATTTTGGGAAGATTTGGGACATTTGGGGAGATTTTGGGACATTTTGGGGTCATTTTGGGGGGATTTGGGGGATTTTTGGGGACATTTGGGGGACATTTCGGGAGATTTGGGGACATTTGGGGACACTGGGGACATTGGGGGACATTTTGGTGGCATTTTTTGACATTGGTGACATCAGGTGACATTTGGGGACATTTTTGGTGACATTTTGGGGCATTTGGGGACATTTGGGGACACTTTGGGGACAAATTTGGGACATCTGGGGACATTTTGTGACATTTGGGGAGATTTGGGGACACTGGGGACACTTTGGGGACATTTTTTTGACATTTGAGGACATTTTGGTGACATCAGGTGACATTTGGTCACACTTGATGACATCTGGTGACATTTGATGACATTTTTTGACATTTTTTACATTTTTTGACATTTTTTGACATTTTGGTGACATTTGATGACACTTGGTGACATTTTTTGACATTTTTTGACATTCTTGTGACTTTTTTTACATTTTGGTGATATTTTGGGGACATCGCGGTGACATTTTGTTACATTTGCTGACTTTTTTTTACTTTTATGACTTTTTTTGACATTTTGGTGACTTTTCGTCATTTGGTGACATTTGGTGACATTTTGGTGACATTTTAATGACATTTTTTGACATTTTTGTGACTTTTTGGACATTTTTTGACATTTCGGGGACATTTTGTGACTTTTTTGACATTTTTTGACATGTGGGTGACATTTTATGACATTTTTTGACGTTTTTTGACATCCTTGTGACACTTTTTGACATTTTGGTGACATTTTGTGACTTTTTTTACATTTTGTAACATTTTTTGACATTTTGAGTACATTTTATGACATTTTTTGACATTCTTGTGACACTCTGGTAACATTTTGCTGACATTTTTTGACATTTTGGTGACTTTTATGACATTTTTTTGACATTTGGTGACATTTTTTGACATTTTGAGGACTTTTTTTGACATTTTGGTGACTTTTTAGTCATTTGGTGACATTTGGTGACATTTTAATGACATTTTAATGACATTTTGGTGACTTTTCTGACATTTTTGACATTCTGGTGACATTTTTGTGACATTTTTGTGACATTTTGGTGACTTTTTGACATTCTGGTGACATTTTTTGACACATTAATGACATTTTGAGTACATTTTTTGGCATTCTGGTGACATTTTTTGACACGTTAATGACATTTTTTGACATTTTTTGACATTCTGGTGACATTTTTTGACACGTTAATGACATTTTTTGACTTTTTTTGACGTTTTGGTGACATTTTAATGACATCTGGCGGCGTTCCGTCCCCAGCCGCGCTGTCGCTGTCGCTGTCGCTGTCCCTGGACCTGGAGGCCCCCGCGCTCTTCCGGGGGGACCCCGGGGGCGGCTTCGGCGCCAGCGTGGCCCAGCTGGGGACCGGCAGCTCGGGATGGTAACGGGGACCCCAAAATCACCCCAAAAATATCCCTGAAATAACCCGAAAATATCCCTGAAATCCCCCAAAAATCACCCCCAAAATCACCCCAAAATCCCCCCCAGCGTGGCCCAGCTGGGGACCGGCAGCTCGGGATGGTAACGGGGACCCCGAAATCCCCCGGAATCACCCCAAAAATATCCCTGAAATCACCCCAAAAATATCCCTAAAATACCCCGAAATCACCCCAAAAATATCCCTGAAATCCCCCCAAAAATATCCCTAAAATACCTCAAAAATCACCCCGAAAATATCCCTGAAATCCCCCCCAAAATATCCCTTAAATCCCCCAAAAATCACCCCAAAAATATCCCTGAAAATATCCCGAAATCACCCCAAAAATATCCCTGAAATATCCCGAAATCACCCCAAAAATATCCCTGAAATATCCCGAAATCACCCCAAAAATATCCCTGAAATCACC